AACTCCCGCGGACTAGCCCGTAAACACGCAAAGAACAGCTGCACCCACCAATGTTCATGAAAAGTTTTGAGAACATCGAAACTGCACTGTGTTTTGTTAATGATGTAAAGAAGACCCATCAGGAGCACAAATGATTTCAGGACGTCACAAACGCTCTTCCAAAATGATAGCAACATCAATGGTTTCTTTTGGAAGCACTTCCCATTGCTCCTCCTCAGTCACAATCAGGTGTGCCTCACACGTCCTGAAAAGTGAAGCTGCGGGCTCTTTGATCGCCCCCTGGTGGCTGGCTGCAGTACAGGTCTCCAAATGACGTCATTTACTTAAGATGGCAGCGGCCATACTGAGATGCTTTGGCTTCACTTTTCTATAGTGGAAGCAATAGGAGACGCGTCGTTCATCTTTTTTTACAGTCTATGGTCACAATCAAGATGCCCATGTCAATGCCCTTCAACAATTCTTCAATTTCATGAGATGGCTGAAAAAACAACAAAAAATAAATTCTTCACATACAATTATAACAATTTAATCAATATAGAATACTACTGTGCATTACTTCAACTACAGTAATACATTCTATACATTCTGTTAAAAATATTTAATAACAAGCAGCAATAAAGAGGCTAAGTAAAAAAAAATTTTTTAAAAGCGCAAGTTTACATGAGCATGGCTAGGCATATCAGACCAACTGCAACAAGTACCGCTATTTCAAGAATATAGCACTTTTGGTGTGCATCAGGTTCGGTTGATGTCAGAGTTTGGTTAATTTGGATCATGTGAACTCTCAGTTCTTCCACTGTTTATCTGACATTGTAGCCATTAGGGATGTGTGAGACTTGTCGACAAAATTCTAATGCTGCTAGTCATTGCTGAAAATACCAGTGGTTTAAATTTTTTTTTATTGGCACATTCTCGCATATATTGCTTCATAGTTTTACGAAGACTATATTCAAATTACTGTCACTTTAATGTTACATTTTACATACAACATATTAGTAAATAAATATTTACTTATATTATCAGTCTTGGCCACGCGTTTACGAGAGTATCATGACGTGTGGTGCTGCTGACGCAGGAGCTGGCATTCTGACAGAACATGCATGTGCTTTGTTTACGAGCAGAGGAACACACACGCGACGTGGTACTGTCGTGAACGTGCATCACGGACTAACACTGAAAAGAAGAAATTGTTGAATAAAGATGTTATTTTTGTTTTCTTTGCACACAAAAATTTTCTTGTAGCTTCATAAACTTACGGTTGAACCACTGATGTCACATGGTCTATTTTAACGATATCTTTACTACCTTTACCTTTAAGATCTTGAAGGTCTTATGGGTTTGGAGCAACATGAGGACGAGTAATTAGAGATA